ATATACTTTTGCTTTTATATTTAGGCCAGGTTGAGTTTTCTATCCCTTATGACTGAAATCTTTCTAACTCCACGGAGGGTCTCCTACATGCTGACCTTCTGACTTGAAAGAGGGATACTACCATCTATTTTGCATAAACCATTTTGTTTTAAAATGATATTTTTAACTTACTGGTTCTAGTTAATTCAAATCTAGCTTATGAAACAAAAAAAATGAATATGATGAATTTCTACAACAGTGCTAAGACAATATGTCCCTGAGGAGATGTCTTTTAAAAATAAGTTTAACTTTGAAAAATAAACTTAGGGCAAAACATGGTGGCCCACACTTATAATCCCAGCACTTTGGGAGACCAAGGTGGGAGGATCCTTTGAGGCCAGGAGTTCAAGATCAGCCTGGACAACATAGCAAGTCTTCCATCTCTACAAATTAAATTAAAATTAGCAGGACATGGTAGAGTGCGTCTGTAGTCCCAACAAGTAGGGAAGCTGAGGCAGGAGATTCACTTGATCCCAGGAGTCTGAGGTTGCAGTGAGATATGATCATGCCACTGTACTCTCACATGGGCAACACAATGAGACCCTGTCTAAAAAAAAAAAAGAAAAGAAAAAAATAAATAAATGTAATAAAATTTCCCATTCTAGTACATCTATTTTTATTCTTGCCTCTCTGGAACAGGTTTAGAGATATTATACCTGGTGAATTAGAATACTATTCCTCTGTGAAGGAAATATCATCAATATCCTTCATATTGTCCTCACTACATGTTCTGGTTACGTTCAACTCTTCATACTCAAGAATTTATGTGAGGCTCAGAATATTTTATTTATTTATATTTCATCTAGTTTCAGAAAGTATTTTACAGAGATTAAATAAAATGCATACATACAAATATATAAGCCAATAATGTGCAGATGAATAGTAATAAACCATGACAAGTTAAAGATTGTGCTTATTAAAAAATTAGAGTGGATCTAGTATTTGATAGCACAATAGGGAGACTATAGTTAACAATAATTTATTGTACATTTTAAAATAACGTAAAGAGTATAACTGGATTGTAACACAAAAGAAAGGATAAATGCTTGAGGTGGTAGATGCTCCATTTACTCTGAGTGATTATTACACAAGTATCCCTTCATCAAAAGATCTCATGTATCTCATAAATACATACACTTACTATGTACTTACAAAAAATTAAAATTTAAAAAAGAAAAAAAAATTACAGTAAAGCAGGCCATACATGGCTAAATTAAGCTGTAAATATACATCCAAGCTTCCTGGTATTCGAAATAAGAAAGAAAAGCTACAAAGATCTCATTTCAGAAAAAAAAAATTTCTCCTAACACTTAATTCTAAAAGAAATTTTCCTGAGCGACTGTGACCCAAGATAAAATGGAGAAGGGAGTCTAGTGTGCCTCTCACCAATGTTTTCCAAAATTATCTGTTATTCCATATGCATATAAAAGTTTCCTGCCATAAATACATTACACAATAAGGAAACTACATGGTTGGGTTCAAGAAATCAACAAAATATAAGTTTGTAAAAGGCGAGTTAAAGGGATCTGATGTTGTAGTTCACAAAGACATTTTTTCCTCATCCATAAAATAGAAAGAAAATTTAGCACATTTTTAAATGCTTTCTTCCCAAGAAATAGGAAGAAAAATAGAGTTAATTGTTTTTCTACTCTATCTATATAGATATTATTTCATTATTCCTGATAACATCATTTTCAGATGAATGAATTAGACTGTTACTTGTTGAGAAGTCATGTGGAACTTTGATTTTCCAAGACAAGAAATTCAGAAGCATTTCAACTCTCAGAATCGAGAAGATATAAATCCAGGTATTTGTTATACTCAGTGATGAAGCAATCTTAAGATGATACATTTGCAGTCCCAGCTACCCGGGAGGCTGAGGCAGAAGAATTGCTTAAATCTGGGAGGCAGAGGTTGCAGTGAGCCGAGATCACGCCACTGCACTCTAGCCTGGCTGGCACCTGGCGACAAAGCGAGACTCTGTCTAAAAAAAAAAAAAAAAAAAAAAAAAAAGATGATAGCAAATTAAATGTAAAGATACAGAGAGAAAATAATGTTGTTGTTAGTTGTATTACCACAGATCATGTGAGGGAACTTATAAAAGATGTCTATGTATTTTTAAAAATTATCTTTACAAATGCTAAAACTAACCCCAAAGTCAGGTTCCCTAATAAACATTTAAAAATGTGCTAAAACTGATAGCTCTCTAAAATAGCTTCAGTTCTTTCGTTCCATTTTAGACAACTGATGAGGAAATCACTAATGAAACACTGAAAATATTACTTAGTGAATGAAACATCACCACAGTGGAATCACAAATATTACCCAGACAATCACTGTATTGATTTCCATGTAATAAATAGGCGCGGACTTGTTGATTATCAGGAAATTACCAAACACTGGTTTTGACTTGAATATACTTAAAAAGTCATGTATATTGAATTAATATTAATAAATTCTTCTACAATTTTCACTCACAAAATGAAATATGTAGTTAATTAGCTGAAAATTAAAACTGCTGGTTCAACTAAATTCAGCAAATCTTACATGCTAGTGTCACCATATGTACATTTGTTTGAAGTAATAATTAAACTTCTGTACTAGCTGTATATTTTGAGAAAAGTAAACAAATTATAATATGACACATAGAATCTAAAAATACCCATTTATTTTCCTCTTTGACAACTAAGTAAAAAAGCCATAAGTGAATCTTTAATAAATTCACCTCCAAAATTTTAAATTCAGTACTTGATTTATGGGTATAACTTTGACCAAGTCATTTACTACTTCCATCTAAAACTATTAGCAGACATAGGATAAATTTACTTAGGCATATACATTGAAACTTGCATAAATTTTTAAACATTATGAGCAGAGTATTAAATTGGACATTATGATCCATCTTGTTTTTGAGAAATATACCAGGAGTAATCAGTAGTGAATACAATTTTTTAAACGTTTTCCATCCAGAATTCTTTCCTCAGTATTCTTCTCATCTCTTCTAACATCATTTCCATTAAAAAAGAGAAAGAAATAAACTCTAAAAGTACTGCTTTGATCTAGAATGAGCAGTCAGGAGTTTCATTCAGATCTATTTTGAGAGAAAACTGATGTGCTCAAAAATATATTTCAGATTGAAAAAATGTGCGGCTGAGGAAATATTAATGTTCTATTAATAAGCAGAGAATAACACATCTAAGACGATTTTGCATTTGGCACAGTATCTTACAGAAAGCAAAGTGCCTGACAAACACTATCTTGGTTGGATCTCACAGCACTCCAAGGAGGGAGGTAGAGCCAGGCATATTGTTCTCTTATAACAGAGTTATTCATTAAGAGATTTACTCAAGGTCAATCCAGAACCTGGATCTGTTAACAAAACTTCATTTCAGGGGTCATGTTCTCATGTGGTAAGACGTGGTGAGTTTCAATCATGAAAGCAAGGAGGTAATATAGCCATTTTTTTCTTGTTTGAGATCTCTCTCTTTCCCTCCTTTCAGTTCATTGTAGAGATCATTCTTTAAAAAATCAATTTGGTCATCAAAATAATTTATAAAAAAGGAGCATGCAGCATGTGTACAAAATTTTTAAGTGCACAGTTTATTACCTGAAGAAATAAACTGACATAACTATTTGAAGTACAAATTAAGTGTAATTTTATTTTAAAATATGCAAATATGTGTTGCCAAATACTGTTTTTTGTCATGGTGCAGTCCACTTTCACTAAACAACTGTGAAGTTTATAAACTTCATATGAACAATAACAAATGAGCCATCCTATTCAAATCAAATAAATAACCAGTGTGCCTATTACTACTTGTAAGGTCCTGTGATCAAAACCTACAGTCGTTTATAGCCAGTGCTTTACTCAGTTCTTTTCTGATAGATGGGTGGCAGATGGATAGAGATATCCTCCATATATGTTATCTATATCTATATTCTTTTCCGGTATTTCATCTCGCCTCCACTGAAGACAGCTTGTATGACTTTATTATAGAAATAAAGTTCACAATAAAGATAATTTACATACCGAACTCTTATATTTTCATTCATGGAAAAAAAAAAAAAAAACACAACACAACATGGTAGTGCTAGTGACAGTCTGTGTTTTGAAGCAGGATAGAAACTAGCCTGTTTCAGATTCCTGACATTCTGGCAAACTTAGGAACACAAACCCTCGGGATCTAAATGCATCAACCTGAGCGCCGGCTGATTAAGCATTGCAAAGCAGTGTTCTAAAAGGAAAGGCCTTCACTTAGCGCTACAACATTTTTGTTCAGCTTTCTTTCATATACAAACTTTCGCCAGAAAAGGCGTTTTAACCCGAGGGCAAAGCTTTAGTGAGTCCACAGTTCCCATCTTCAACTCTTTAGAATAATAGTTATTTAAGCACCGGACCTGTCTTCAGAGACTCACTTTGTGACACAGCTGCGGCCGGACTTGACTTGATCTGGGAGCCAGGATCGGTCCCACCGCAGGGCTCAGGGCGGTTTGTTCCCAGTGGATCAGGGCGGGTGTGTTGCCGGAGTCGCCTTTTATTGGCTACACTCCTGAGGACTGCTTGGCCTTTCAGACGCCTGATTGGACGGAACTGCCCTCTGTACGCCGACATTATTGGAGGGCGCTGGAACAGGGGGCGGAGCGGGTTCCCCAGGATTCTTGACCGGGCGCGCTAGTCCGCGGAGCCGGGCGCAGGGCGCGGGAGCGGAGCTGCGCGGGCGGCTGCGGAGGGAAGGTGTCCTAGCCAATAGGATCTTTAAGGCGAACGCGAGGCTGGGGCCGGTTGCCGACCAGCCGCGTCTCACTGAGGCAGTCCACGCTTTTCCCCCGGCGGTCGCCGCTCCAAGACAGCATCTGTCAACGCTCCTCTTCTCCCCTCCTCCTTCGGCCGGGCCGGGCTCCGTCGGCGGCTGCCGAGAGGACGCGGGACCCGGCGCGGTGAGCCCATCAGCTGTCAGGCGAGCGGCGTAGCTGCCGGAGGGCGGCGAGAGACACACAAAGAACGCGGTGGGAGGCGGCGGCGAAAGGGGGCGGCAAATTCGGGACTGCAACTCCTAGCCGCGCCTGCCTGTGCCACCGCCGCCCGGGCTTGGTCCGAGGCGGCGCAGACAATGCGGCCGGGCTCGGCCCCGCGTGCCCCAGAGTGCAGGGCGCCCACGCTCCCTCGACCCCAACTTGACCGTGTCCCGGCTCGCCCAGCCCCCTCCCGGGGTAGGGGCGCCCCCTCGCTTCGGCGGCGGGCGAAGGAAGTCGGTCCGCGGCCGCGGAGCCCGGCAACTTGCGAGCGGGGAAAAGTTTGCGGCGCCTCCGCGGGGCGGCGCAACGCGGCCCGTCCCTCGCGTCCGCGGTCACCGCGGTGACTTTCTTGACTCGTCGTCAGTCGGGGCCGCAGCGCGGCCGGCGGGGACTGCGGGGAGGGCCGGAGTCCGTCCGAGGGCTCCCGCACCTCGGGCTGCGGGTGAGTCGGCTTTTGGCGCGGTGGGCTCAAGCGGTTTAGGGCACCTGGGCTTGGGAACAAGGCGTGGAGAGTGCCTTTAATACTTTTTGGAGCTGACGGGGAGAACAAATAAAAGTGCGGTAGCTTGAAGGGCACTGACATGCCACTGACTTTGGAACTGTATCCGTGGGAACCCTTCGGGGGCCTGCGCTGCCGAGGGCCTGTGTGGGAGATGGAAAGGTTAGAAGTGACTGGCCCAGCTTGACCTTGGACAAGTGACTTAACCACTTAGATTTCCTCGTGGGTAATCTGTGGGGCTACAGCAACATGCTCTATGGTGTCGTCCAGTTTGTAGGCTGCATCTCCGTTTTTGAGATTTTCCTAGGGCCTCAACACGGTGCGTCAGTTATGAAGAGATAGGCCAGGATATGTTTAAATGGGTCCGGAGTCACATTTCAGCCTACTCAGAAGTAACTTTTAAGTCTGATGTTTTAAAGCATTTAAAGGCTTTCCTTCACTGAAAAATAAATTACCCATTGCTTATTTTACGAACCTTAGGATTGTTGTATTTTGCTGCACCATTTGAAATCGTAGGGGCCAGGGAGGGGACAGAGAGCCAAACCTGAGGGGTGAAGTGGCAGGTGCCCCCAGCGATCCCTGCTGGATCCAGTTTAGGGGGAGAACAAAGCATTTATTATGCATAAGAGAGAGAACAGGGCAGGTGTTTGTGTTTTTGTTTTCTGTGTTCTTTCTACTGAAAACTTTTTTGGGTTGGGGCAGTGGGCACTGGAGGAGGGGACTCTTCTGATAAAGAAGAAAAAGAAAATGTCACTTACACCCTAAGTAAGTCTTAAACTAATGTAAATCTTCCTTACAGGAACAGCAACACGTAATGCAAGTACATCTTGATCTAATTTTAATGAAGGATTGAAAATAGCTACTGTGTTCAGTATTACTGACGCCAAGGCAGCTACTTACATAATCTTCTTTGTTGAGATGTGTTAGTGGCATGTATAATTTTGATAAATAATTAATGTTAAAGGTTTAGTCTGGCAATGATATTGAAATACTGTCATCACAGGTTGTATTGCAAGACAAATGGTGTGTTAACTTTTGGTTATGATAACCTGCATTTTTTCTCTAAACAGTAAAATCAGACATTTTTCATAACAAAATTATCTTAAATGCTCCAGGTATACTTAGTAGTGTATACAGGAGAAATTATTTTGTTCTGTAAATGACAAAGTCCTTAAGTGTTCTCACCATTTCATGAGAGTGAATTCTAGATGTCAGGTGCTCCACTGGACATTTTCTCTTAGTGGACATTTTCTCCACTGGACATTTGCTTTCTTATAGCAAAAAAAGTTCTTTACAAAAGTAAGTGCATAAATATACTCAACAAATATTTGCTGAATAAAATACTCACATAAGAATAACTAAGGTCCATCTTGTCCTCGTGAAAGAGAATGGTGATCATGCTGTAATAGAAAGAAGATATCAAAGAAGGAACTGGCAGAAAAACAGAGCTTAGTTCCAGTATCTAGCCTGAACATTTATACTTTAAAACAGGTCTACACATTTGGAAAGAGACAAAGACAAGTGATAGGCTTCCTAAGAGAAAGATAAACAGTATTGATTTAACGTAATACATTTTATGACCTAGTTTTGTTTGAAGAACACAAACCTTTGAAAAGGTATATTTCTTAATCAGTAGCTATTTGCATTGTGATTGGATGTCTAATTAAATGGCCCAATCGTAACCATAATATCTCAATTGAATGCTGTCTGATGTTTTTAAATTCATTTTTAGAATAGCTTGAAATAAACCATTCAATTTAGTTACATGAAGGAAAGCGTACCTTTTGAAATCAACTAAATCCGCAGTGAGGAAAATTATCATCAGTGTTTTCACCAAATGTAAATTAAGCACTGGAAGTAGCATCTTGCCAAGAAGGTCTTCAATCTAGACAATCACTTTGTGTAGAAGAGGTCTTATGTGGAATGTGGACTGCAGTGAGAAATGCCATTATTCTTTGGAGGGTCTATTTGGTGACATAAGGAAAATACTAATGCACCCCTTCAACATTTGTAAACCTGGAAACTTTTGGAAAGCCTAGTGGCTTTCCAAAGTTATTTCAAAGTAACCACTCAACTTAGAACCTAGCATTGATATTTGAACAAACTGTTTTGGTAGAATATGGGTTCTCCTCTGTGCAGATTTGCTGGCTTGGCAGCCTTGTAAGAGATCACAGCAGTGTATCTGAGAGTGTAGTCCTTAGATCTCCTGTATCAGAATCACCTGTAGTACTTAGAAAACTTCAAACTCTTGGACACATCCCACATTTACATAATCAGAATGTCTGTAAACCGAACCTGTAATTTCTACTCGTAAGACCCATTTATACCTAGTGTTCCATTATTGGAATGCTAAGCTTCTGGGAGTTATTTAAACCCTGCTGCTCAAGGTCATCGCCAAGGTCCGATTTTTCACAAAAAATTTTGCAACCAACCTCCAGCATAAATGGGTTAATGAGCTCCTTCAAAAGTGACAGTTAATCACACTAAATTTTAAGAATTGGTGTTAGAGTTTTTTTGCCACAGTTGTAACGTCCATGTTGCTTTCTTCTAGGAACATTAAAAAGGCCCCCAGATGCTCACTGCTCTGATCATTTCCCCTCTAGCACTAGACACATTGGCCTTACCTCTTAGTTGGGCCCTGTGGCCAGGAAACCCCTCTTGAAACCGCCTCTGCAGGTAAATCAACATAGAATGTACCACCTATGAGCAGAGTTAAAGCTGCTTTGAGACGCAAGGCTCAAGAGACCACAGTTCACAGACCTCGCCTACTAGTAGGATACTCCCACCAGTCTCCCTAGCTTGTTGGTGATTTGTGGGAGTGGCAGTCCCAGCCTTCTCTTCAACTAGGGAGATAAAGTTTTCAAGCAAATGATTGGGAATGGACCCTAAGGGACAGATGACCTGAGAGAGAACAGACAAGAATGCTGGATGGAGGGCCGTCCCCTCAACATCCTTCAAGCCTCACATTTAAAAAATTTTAGTCCTAAAGCAAATAACTTGGAAAGCAACTGTGGTTAAGTCCAGGCACCTCTGTTCTCGGTTGTCAAAACTTAATCTACAAATTCATATAACGGCTCCTAACCTCCATCTATAAATGCCCAGTGTATAAGTGAGGATTTTCAAGCTTATCAGTTAAAAAGGGGGGACAGCAATTGTTTAGAAGAGAAGTTCAAAACATAGGTTGAGGAGTCAGCCAATCATGATTGCAATCCTACTTTTGCCATTTACTCCTTGGGTGGCTTTAATCTACATCCTTGATTCTCTAAGTTTCAGTTTCCTTACTTGAAAAATGAAGATAATAGTACTACCATGTAGGAGTTGTTTTGTAAATTATATAAGATTATAAATTAAATTATAATCAGCTAATAAATCACACAGTATATATTCAATATATGTAGCTTTTAATTTATTATAGTAACTTTTTCAAATTTTTTTTGTAGCCCTGGAGAGTTGCTGTAGAAGAAGGAAAAGAGAGGAAGACAACACAGGAGGAGATAAGTAGCTCTATGGAAGGTCACATTGCTAAATAGTTGTTGAGCAGAGGGAAAAGGTAGGAAAGGATGTGGACTGCAGTGCTACAGTGCCAGCTAATAACTTTCATCATGTACCTTCTTGGCCCAGGTGCTGTCTCTTCTACTCTCTTCCTTTTTGGCACTACCTTATTTAGCACTTAATTATATACTTTCTTGACTCACTTTGAGAAACACTGATTATGGGTCTGCCTCAAAGACAGAATCCTAGTTTTGGATTTTAGCATTACTGATCTATTGCCTTGGAGGGGCTTAAGGATGGCAGCTGTCTCTCCCCCTTGGGATCTAGCTTTTAGAAATATTGAAGGGAAGAGATTCTATGATCTTATAGGAGGAGATCCACAGTTCATCTCCAAATTTGCATTTATAGATAAGTGTATGTCACCAAAACACAGAGATCTGGTCAGAGAGGCTCCCACCCACAGACTTTTAATAGAATTTTACTTCCTAGGGCATTTATTCTTGTCAAGTACTTTCTCTCCTATCAACTCACTTGTTCCTCACAAAAGCCCTATAAGGTGTTAATATTATTAAACAGACCCCTATGAAGCACCTCAAGTCTTTCTGTCTCCCCACCTCTATTCTTGCACACCTTTTGCTAGACTAGTCTGAGTTTATCACATCAGGTTTCTAAAATGAAAGTCCCCTAATCACTTTCTGTTTGTTCCCTCATCAAGTTGACCTTTTCTGTCTGGCTTATAAGGTGGCCTTAAAAACCTCATTTTCCTGTAAACATTGTCTCCATAGTTCAGGAACATGGCAGGCTCACCACTATGCATTAGCCCATATTTCCCTCATTAATGATGTCTCCTCTCAAACCACCCAGATTCTACTCATTCTTCAATTTCTAGCTTCTCCTTGGAGCCTTCCCAGATCATTAGCTTCTTAAAGATCCCAGCTTTCTCTGAATTCTGATGGTAGCCACCCTTATTTGGTCAATTATAACCTGATCTTAAAGTCCTAATGGGGAAAAAAAAAGTATATGATGGATTTTCTGTAGAGAAGAAAGCACTGGACTGAGCTTTTAGACATCTGCTAAGGAGCTGTGTGAGCCAAACCAGGTTGCTTTACCTCTCTGGGTCTATATTTACTGATCTGTTAAGTGGAAAGGATTGGGCCAGATAATCTTGGTGGTCTCTACTCATTGTGAGGCTCTTGGACAATTTGGCCTAGTTCACGTGGGATGGGATTGAAGATCTTACCGAGTTCTTGGATGGAAATATCAGTGATGGGCACTCAGTGCCTTTAGGACTTGTTTTGTACTATTGCAGAAATTTCTGATGCTAAACTTGGCAATTTTTAAATGCCATATTCCTTTTCTCCAAACTCTTTAACCACAATAATTCAGGGAACATTAGTAGGGGATGAGTTAGGTATCTGGATAATATGTATTGTGGACAATGTAACATTATTCTTGGGAATGATTTTGTATTGTTGAATAAATAGGATCAACTTCTTAATAAACCTTAGTCATAAACATTTTATCTTCATAGATAGTGCTATATAAGAATATATTTATTTTTTCTTTTAATCATTTCATAATTTGGGGAATATTAACATAGTCAAAACTCTAGGGTAGATGCTATATGAGTTTCTGTAGTAATCTGGTTGGAGACATGTTATAATTCTGCATATATATGTACATTTATCTCACGCACATTATGCTTAAACTTAGAAGGATACCCCTGAATTAAGAGATGCTATTATACATTGACCAGACTTAAGAATATCTCTTTAAAGTGTGTTGACGTTTAATTGACCTTTGAAAGTTCATTCTGTTAATCATACTCAAAGTGCTAAAGCTATGGTTGACTGCTCTGGTATTTTTATATTCATTCGTGCTTTAGCATATAAATTCTTCAGCATAATTGCTACTTATTTAGTGAGTTTCCTTTCTTTGAAAATGTGAGCTGTGCTTGTATTTTGGTGTCCTTTTTTTTTTTTTTTTTTTTAACTTTGCTTCAGGCTGGGTAGTGTTAGAGGTTTGAATTAAAATGTTTTCCTGTCAGTAGTTGTATGGGGTGTGGCTTCTTAATCTAGAAGTAATGGAAATTTCTTGGCTAAATGAAGTGCACTCCCCTTCCTTCAGAAGTTAGAACTCTTTAAATTACAATGCTAAAATTTAGACAAGCTTAACACTTCAAAGCTGTACATCTTTAACAGAAACTTTTGGAAATTTTAAAATTCTATTTGCGTGGATTAAAAATATCAGTGCTAATACTTCCTATTAAATAAGGATTTAATTATCTATTTTCATAAAAACTCTAAGTATATTCCTTGAATTGCTATGACTAGAATTTTGTTGTAAACACAATATTTTTAAAAAGTCAAATATATTTTTAAAATCTTAACACTTTATTACTATAACTGAGAGAACAGGTGTTTACATGTTTAAAATTTTCTAGGTCTTAAATTTGTGAAATCAGTCTTTGGGAAGTAATTTTTTATATGGTTAGCTGTCTTACAAGTTTATAAGATGACATTTCAATTTAAAATTTTTTCAGTTTATATTTCAATAACCAGGAAAAAAATAGTTAAACTTCTTGCTAAATTCTAATAGAAGAAACACACACACACAATTGTTAACTTTTGGTAATTTATCTTGAGACTCCAAACATGTTTTTAGAACATTTATACTTTAAAAGCAATTTTAAAATAGGAAAATTGAAGTTTAAAGAAGAGTTTTCACTTTCATGAATTTTATACTTCCCAGATAGGTAGGTCCATATTCAAGATCACTCTGATCTCTGTTTATAATAAGTTTTGATGCCATTTATCAATTACTTAGTCACACATTATAAGCATGGTAGATTTTTGTCATGAAGCTGGCATTATATTCTTATCATCATCATCTCTTTCAATATTGTCCCTTTTTTATTTTTCTGTTTTCATCTTAGCTCTTCTTCTCATTTTATTGTTGTACTGACTTGAAATGAAAGTAAGTTTGTTTCTCTTAAACATTTCACTTCAAACTCTTTTTTTTAGAATATACAGTGAAATGTCTTAAATAATGTTATATAAATAATAATACCCAAAGAATGCAAATGACTGCAATGCTGAGTAGTCAGATACAGGATGTTCCATTTTAAGGGTAGACTCTCATACTTCCACTTTATAAAATGTAGTTTCAGAAAATAAATAGATGTATTTCTTCCTAATAATTAGTGTTTCAGGACCAAAGTTGACTAAACATGGAAGTTTGAGATAAAGCCTGGTTTCTTAGGAAATCTTTCTCAGTCCTTAGTAATTCTATAGCATTGATGATACAGTGACAAATTCAATACATTCAGTGTTCTTTTCTGTTTGAAGTCTGTTTTGCCATTGTGAAAAACTTCTTGTTGTTTGGATTTGGATATATATATTCACAGATGTTTACTTTATTTTTATTTTATTTGAACAAATATTTTAATGTCCCAAACACTGATACATGTTTCATATCTTAACACAGTTTATAAATACTAGAATATTTAATCCTAACTCCATAATTATAATTATCTTCGTTTTACAATTGAGAAAAGATACAAAGTTTTATTTGATGGTAAGACCTTAAGAAGGGGAGAGTGATTAAGTGTAGGCAGAGTGGAAAATTTATTAGTGCTAAGAAGCAACAGAAGTATGTGTGTATGTGCAAGAGTTTGGGAAGATGTGTCTACTTGGAAAGGATCAGGGACTCAGCTGGCCCTAGTCTTAAAGAGCAACATGTGCTCATTCCTCAATTTTAAGCCTCTGAGCTCTAGAAGTAAAGGGCAAACTTAGAAAGAGGAGGTTTCCTCAGGTTTCAGCTGCCTGTTCGGCCTGGTGAGGTGGCTATACTAGCTCATGTGATTCTCATAGGGCTACATGAACCTTTATGTCATACCTTTTCCTAGCATTTCTTGGCTGACTGCTGCTTTTTTGGAGTGTTTAACTTCTCTCTCAGCTAGAAGGTTAGGCATTGCAAATAACAGTGGATAATTTTTTTCTTAGCTTTAACCTCATCTCACTTCATCCCCCACTTTGTCCTCTGTATATTCTTTTGAAAATATTATCCAGTAGTGTTTATGAATGTATGTTGTATAAAATTTAGAGATTGATGTTAAGCAACAGAATTAAAAGACAAAGCTATCTTATTGTTGGAATCGGGGATGGAAGAAAATGGGAGAGGAGCTAAAAGTAAGAAATATGGAAAAAGGAGAGACATTGTGGAAAAGAAGAGATATAATGAGGGGAAAAAGTGAAAAAATGAAGATAGAGAATTACTGATTTGCTTCACACCCACACCTCCTCCCCAGCTTCACAGTAACAGAGGCAATGTCACTGTCTTTTACCTGACATATGCCTTACCAGGGAGTGGTGCCTGGCATCGTGGGAGTAGAAAATTTCTCCCTTTTGCATTTTGAGACTTGGGTGTGCTGCTTTAAGATGCCACTGGTATCTAAGTAATGTTTGTTTATACTGGATGTTTTTCTCTGTTGCCTTTGTGGATTGGACTTATAATATAAACAATATTGTTAGCAGAACTGCAGGTACTCTATTGCTATGTTTATTAGTTAAAAAACTATCAGAGCCCTATGACTTCTGAGCACATTTAGAAAATACCAGAGGCAATTTTAATACTAGCATTAGAAAGAAGGAAAAAATAAGAATATAAGTAAGACTTGCATACCTTAGAATCCTAACCAATGTGGTGATTTTTAAAAAATTAATGTTTCAGAAACTCTAGAGTAATTTGTTTCATTAATTACATTTTTTGAAGTTAATATAAAGTACATTTGCCTATAAGTTCTCTTTTCTTAATAGATAATTTTGGTAAAATGGAAGTGTGGCATTGTTCCGTAGAATGTAAAACTAAAGTCAGAATAAGAATTCTTTGGGGAATTTAGGATTTTTTTGATGCTTCTCAAATCATCTATAATGACTTTTCTTGGATCACAGTCAGAAAGTATTTCCTACTGTTTTGTTATTACATTGGGACAAAATAATGGAAATTGTAAGTCTTCCAGAAAATTCAAAGAATATGGTCAATCTTATTTGTAAACCTTAAGCTCTCTTTTTATCCTGTTTTCTGTAGAAAAGGTAGATTATTCATTAGCTTTTATGAAAAACACTAAGTTTAAACAGCTGGCTGTAGTGGCGTACACCTATAGTCGCAGCTACTCAGGAGGCTGAGGCACGAGAATCGCTTGAACCCAAGAGGCAGAGGTTGCAGTGAGCCAAGATTGTGCCACTGCACTCCAGCCTGGTCCAGAGTGAGAGTCTGTCTCAAAAAAGAAAAAAATTGCTAGATGGTAAAAATCTAGATTTGAAGAAATTTATTTATTTTTAAATAGTTGTTCATTTGTCACACAGAGAAGTATGATCTTAGCAGGTTTGGTTAGGTTTCTATCTGTGAAACAAAGTAAAGATGTTTTTCTTGATCAATGCATGGCAATAACTGCTGTTCAAACATGTGAGGAATCACCAGTAAAACGTGGAGATAGCAGGAAAAGGAGTTTTTTTCTCATTTTTTTTTTCATTTATCAATTTTTCCCACTTGTTTATGCTTTCCTATAATCATGGAAATTTTAATTTTTTACACCGCTCTCCCCATTTGTTTATCCTAGATTGCTGCCACACCAAGGTTTTCTAGAGTTAGGGAGAAAGGGAACCTGGGCCTTGAAGCAAATGGAAACTATCCCATGCTTTCTCAGACTCTTCATCTGTAGAGACAAGAGAAGCAAAACAGGAGTTGGTGGCTCATTGCCGTTGCTTCTGTGGCTGCCCTGTTTGGTTGACCTGAGCTTTTTTAAAAAACTCTACTCTTAATGCTTAACTCTACAAATAAAATTAGGGCCAGTCATACTGTATTTTCATCATCAGTTATCCCTAGTGGTTCAAATTTAGCACAAACCTGCTGTGACTATATATTAATTAGGTGAATACAGTAGAATGCAATCATAACATGAGTTTTTTTAATAACTATTCTTTGAATAGAAGTATGATATTTATTTTAGAAGTTTGCAGTTATTTTGTTGAAAGTCTAGAAAATCTTTATGTGAGCCACTGAGGTTCTGTTAGCCCACAACAGTTTAAATCAAACGTTAACTTGCAGTAAAAATCTACTGAAAGTATCTTTGATTTTTTGAGATACAGAGAGCTGTTTCAAGTTAAGTTGCTGTATTAGTCTGTTCTCATGCTGCTAATAAAGACATATGCACTACTGGGCAATTTATAAAGGAAAGAGGTTTAATTGAGCCACAGTTCCACATGGCTGAAGAGGCCTCACAAGCATGGCGGAAGAGCAAGGGACATCTTACATGGTGGCAGGCAAGAAGTTTGTGCAAGGGAACTCCTACTTATAAAACCATCAGATCTCATGAGACTTACTCACTACTGTGAGAACAGTATGGGGGAAACTGCCCTGTGATTCAGTTATTTCCACCTGGCCCCACCCTTAACATGTGTTGATTATTATAATTCAAGGTGAGATTTGGGTAGGGACATAGCCAAACTGTATCAGCTGCCCATTCTCTTGTGCAGTGACATAAAGATCTGTTAACCTGATTTAAATCTTGGACTCTTAAGATTTTTTTGAGCCAGGGTATCTCTGTTGCTCAAGCTGCAGTTCAGTGGCATGAACAGGGCTCTTTGCAGCCTCAACCTTCCAGGTTCAAGTGATCCTCCTGCCTCAGCCTCCTGAGTATCTGGGGCTACAGGCATATGCCACCATGCTAGGCTAGTGTTATTTTTATTTCTGTAGAGATGGGGTCTCACTTCTGGGCTCAAGCAGTCTTTCCTAGGCTTCCTAAAGTGCTGGAATTATAGGTGTGAGCCACTGCACCCTGTTCTAAGGAATTTCATAACCCTGTTTTCTGTATGCTGTGTCACTGTTTGCCATGGGTAAAAGGTATATGAATCTCTTTTATTTTGCTGCTTGCAAACCAATTCCCATGCCAAACAATATTGGAGAAAAGTTCTTCTATAGAAAGCTTCATAAGCCAGTTACTGACTACTGTGTCTGTAAATATACTCTGAAACTATTTTGTAGTCTTGCTATTTTTAAAAATGTGTGGGTGTGGGAAGTGATGTTGAATGAATTCAGGATAATTGGTGGTTCTTTGTATTAGAAAAAATCACACTAGATAAGGGAAGTCTGTTTTCATGATTCATGTATGTTAAACTTAAAAAAAAGTTCTTCATCCCTCCCTTTCTCCAGTTTCCACTCTACGACATAAATTCAAGCAATGAAGGAATTTAAGTCATAGAATTTTATAGCTGAAAGGATTATAGAGAGAATCTGATTAAGCGTCTTATTACAGTTGAGGAAACAGATGTCTAGTGAGGTGAAATGAGATCATTTAGCTAGTTTAAAAGCCCAAATAACATTTTAATAGTTTGCTTCCATTAGTAAACACTGTTCTGTTTAATTTGCCCTAATGTATTCATAATCAGAGTCATAATAAGGAAAAATTATGAATATGTATGTGATACTTTCTTGTGCCTTACGTCAGTCACTTCTCAGAAGAGGTCTGTGAGGTGTGGGTATCCTTGTTTCCATTCAGAAAGAGAACAGACTGCAAGCCTAAGAGACCTGTCTGTGCTGGTCACTATCAAAATGGTCTGATGCTATGTGTCTTCCCGCCTTGGCAAAAACATCGGCTGGTCTCTGGACAGTTCTCATAGACCACAGGATGGGTGGGGAACCTCTTCATGTTAGGGCTCTAACCTGTACCAATTATTAAGTGTTGTCTCAATTCCATCACGTTTTAAAGGGGAAAACAGTACTTTTTAAAGAGCTGTGAGATTTTACGTTTTTCAAAAGAAGGATGCTGGATAAATATATAAGTAAGGTGTGTTTAAGAATCTTCTCATCAGCCATGTGCAGTGGCTCACGCCTGTTATCCCAGCTCTTTGGGAGGCTGAGGCAGGTGGATCATGAGGTCAAGAGATTGAGGCCATCCTGGCCAACATGATGAAACCCCATCTCTACTAAAAATACAAAAAATAAATAAATAAATAAATAACTGGGCGTGGTGGTGCCTACCTGTAATCCCAGCTACTCTGGAGGCTGAGGCAGGAGAATCACTTGAACCCAGGAGGTGGAGATTGCAGTGACCCGCACCACTGCATGCCTTCCTAGCAACAGAGACTCTGTCTCAAAAAAAAAAAAAAAAAAAGAATCTTCTCATTAACATCTTAAAAATTAGCCAGTATATACTGAACATCTACTGTATACAAGGCACATTTTGGGGTGTTCCAGTAGATACAATTGTGATTGACACAGAATCATAGCCTTCAGGGAAGAGGTGTATGGAGTCTTCTCTCCTTCCAACGATTACCTAGATAGAGAACTGTTCATAAGAAGGATCTTGTAGATCTGCCTACATTACTCTTGAGATATGAAATACATTATTTCTTATGTCTGAAATGGGTCAGTTGTTTCTAAAGCAATTTGTATTAAAGTGTTAATATTAAACAAAATTTGTAAAATACAGAAAAATAGAAAAAATTCATGAATTTTTAACATGGTAATGATTATATCAGTTTCTTTCTTGGCTTTTCTTTAAGTTGATGGGATATCTAATGTTTCTTGTCATTGCATAGCTTTGTAAACTTGTTCTAATGATTATATAATTTCAGAATGGGTTAGTTTCTAACTATGTCAGAAATCTAGCTTTTTTGTGGTGATTATTGTTGTTTTACACAAAATGATTAATAAAATACTCTAAACTAACCTCGGCTTTAGAAATGCTTTCTAAAATGTAAAATAATAAATGAGTACCAGATTACTTTCTAGTGTTTCTTTAAGGTCACCAAAATCACTTAAGTTCTTAAAATATTGATGGAAATATCAACTATATACAGTTGACCTAAATTAGAAATGGGTGTTTTTTAATAGTGAAATTTATGAACAAAATATGCATATTTTAAAATGCAGTTTCTATTATAGAATTATATTCCTCTGAAATAATTTCTCTTTACACTTTATTGTGTTCAGTTTTTATTGTGTAGATAATTTAATCTTACAGCTTTGTTTTTTTTAAAAGCTATTTGAATTCTAAATTTAGCCATGTAATTATTAGAGTGAAATTCATCTTAAATCTACCTAATGTCCCTTTAGAAATAAGACCTATTTCAATAGAAAGACATTTCTTGGCTAGGGTTGCCTTTCCTGAGAGGAGTCTCCTGGAGCATTCGCACTTGGGGAGGAGTGAACTGAGCCAGCAGGTGGTCTGAGGGAAGTGCCAGGGAACTGCTGACAGTGACTTGCCTGAAGGAAGGGAGGGAGCAGGATGGGATCGGGGTGAAAAGTCCCCTATTAGCCTGGGGGCTGGGATGCCCTGACCCTCTGGAATCCCCCTCCCTTGCAAGAATGCCAGCCAAAGTAGGAAGGAGAGGCTCCAGCCAGATGGGTGTTCCAGTGCAGGAGGAACAAAGTAGGGTAGCTACAACTATAAAAGCTATTTGACAAGCTTTGAGAACTCCTTTCTGGGGAGCCCCGGCATAGATAGTAAATCAGTATTACCTTAGAGGAGAGTTTGGCAAGTCAATATATGCAGGATGAATGAATGTCACTGAATGAATTATTTCATCACCAAAGGATCTCAATATTTGTTCTGTTCTCAAAAAATTTTCATTTATTAACTTTTTATGCCCAATTTAAAAAGAAAATACAATTTTCATTGAACTATGATTAACTATTTCATATTTATTGAAACACACACCCTCCAGTACTCCACAAATGATTCAGAAAAGCTTACAATTAAAAAGAAAATCAGAATAGAAAAGCGAGTAATGGATATTATTTCAGCTCTTGAAGCCTGTTGTCCTTATCTGTGAGGGTAACGATTATACATGCTGAATCTTGCTGTGGCAAGGATGAAATGAGATCATGTATAGACATTGTTTATCATACAACAAATACCTAGTTGAGGCTGTATTAAAATTAAGGCTTTAAACTTGAGTACATACACTTTTGCTTAATTCTAAATTTATTTTTCATTAGCATTTTATCAGCAAACATTTAAGCTATATTCATTTCTAGCGTTTTTATTCCTTATAACTGTAAGCTCTATACTATCCAAGATAATACTTTGCTTCCTAGAATTTGAATTCCTTAACAATCTTTCACATTTGCACAATCCATAGGAAATCACTCCCAGTAAATTCCTACAGGCTTCGTCCACTTTCATGAGGCAAGTAGTAAGTAGATCTGTATTTGTATTACTTATAAAGAAATTCAAGGAAAGGTTCATCATTATCATTAGCAGGAAATATAATGAATTAGAAACCCTTGAATTAGACTAAAAAGCATGTGGGCCATGTTTAAAAGTATGAATCAGAGAAGGTAAAGATTCATTTTAAAGGGCAGAATTTTGTTTGTACATTTAGGTCACTTCTATTTCAGATCAGTTCTATGTATGCTTTCTAGGAAAGAAATCAAAGACCACTTGGATTTTTTTTGTCTTTATGTGTGTTTTTCCAGAGGAACAGGACAGAGGATGAATGCCAAAACTATTACTGCAGCTACCCTGGACACTAAGAGCCCCCAAAGAGATGGAGGATGGAAGGATATAGAGCCTGGGCACTGAGTCCAGTGCTGACATGGAACACATTCATTCTTAGAGTTCCACTGCAAACACTCCAAGGATAGAAGATGAAAATGTTAGATGGACGTGAGAGGAAAAGGGTGGAAGAGGAGAGAGAAGCATTGTTCTCTAAGAGTCAGGGTCACTTACAGGCACTTTTGCATTTCCATGGCCAAAGGAGAGTCCCAGGATGGATGGATAAATGGATAGATTAGATAGATAGATCAGGTAGATTAAATAGGATTAGATTGAGTGAGTGAGTGAGAAGTGGTAACCTCTGCCACTTGCTGATAAGTGCCAAAAATCTTAAAATTCAAGTATGGGCTATTCAGTTTAAGAATTCCAATATCTTAAAATCCAGATAATTGGTTATATAAATAGAGGGGGACAGCTTGGATGGCTATAGTTTATTTTTAGTTATGCATATCTTAGGGAAAATAGTATAAAAGTTTGTAAATATAAAAATGATAATAAAATCAGTTGAGAGGGTTCAAGATTGAATGGTTCAGGGTAGCTAAAGCAATTTTTTTACACTTTATATGGGCTGCTCCTAGATGCTCCACCAGAAAGAATTAATCCTTAAAGCACTTAAAACGGATGCGAGCAAGATAATAAAGCCTGTCCAGGGTACAGACATCCAGATTTGTGATTTAAGGTGGGAAGGCTTTAGAGACCTTGTCTAACAGGACTAAAGCCTGCACTTATGGTTTTAAAGTAGGTACATTGTTTTTTATAAGCATACCTAGGGTTGTATAAGACAAATCAGGGTCTGATGTATAGAACACAATTAGTTCTTATTCTGTCGTATTTGTTTTTAATTCACGATTTTTAAATGGATTTACTGGTCACAGCAAGATATTTTTAGTCTTAAACAAACTTACTTAGCTCAGTACTTCTAGATCAGTGGTTCACTGTCTTGAAGGTGTAGCAAAATCGTTTGATAGCTTTTGCAAAATTCACATACCCAGCAGCCTCCCCATCAACTGAATAAGAATTGCCCTGTGGCTATGGCAGAGGCAGTCAAGGTGTGTGGGGTTAGAAAAAGCTATCCTGGTCATGATATTGCCACCTTCTCACTAGGAAAATTGCCAATCCAAGTGGAACCTATATTGCTCAGTAACCAAAGAAATGAGCAGATAGTTTAAGTAATACGGAGTCTCAGTTAAACTGGCAAAATTGTTTGGCATCCTATTGGAACAAACCTGCTTTAGCTGTCACATAGATTTCACTTAGCTCCTATCTTGCTAAAAGAGGAGCCCATATACATTTAGGCAATAAAATGCCTTTTTATTTATGAACTCTTAAAACTAAGATCTTATGGTCTTTAATTATTTTGTTTGGAGAACTTTTGGTGTTTATTTATGAAGTTCTGAGCAAAAGGCTGTTTTGAAGTTAGGTTAAAGTTTGTTGTCTCCACAGGGAATTATTCGTTATTGAGGTTGTTTGCTTAGTATTTACTTGTCACTGTTTTACATGTTAACTTTACAGTTATTTAAAAGTGATAAGATTTCAAGGCAAGAAGGGGGGACCTGTCACTTTGAGAAAAATTTATGGTAGTAAAATATTTTCTTTTTGTATAAAGTCACTGATATACAATGTCCCACCAGGGTGTAAGCCTTGGTATTTATCTATTTTAATTAAAGAGTACTCTGCCTGTCTAGTTGTGGCTAACTTAAAAGAAGTGGGTATCTTGGTGAGAAGTTCACAAGGTTGGTAGCCACAGCTGAGTGGTGGATTGACCCAAGCTCTAGTCAGCAGTGGTATATGAATGCCAAGTACTAAGAATTTCTGGAATGTGGAATTGCACAGCACTGATAAAGTTTGCTTTGTTCCCCTATGTGACTTGACCCATTGAGAAAACTGGTTCCCTAGGAAGTTTTAATAGTTCAAAGTCCTTAGTTAATAAAGAAAAAGGCCACAACATAATTCAGCTTGTTTTCACCTGCTGACTCAAAGATTAACTTTTTTAACCTTATTGGAATAGAGTTACCTTTGCTTTGAAAAAGTAATTTATGGACTTCTTTATATTTGTTAAGTTTCAGTAAACATGATGCTTTTTGTGTGGATTTTATTTTTGTTTCAGGTTTGGTATCACAACTACTAAGACTTATGCAATTTTAGAACCTTATGGTAACTTCATCTAAAAACAAATCTCAGGGAAAGGCACACCCACTTTTCTGTATCAACTTAATCTTTTACTAGACTCAGAATGGTTTTAAATTACTTCAGGAAAGTAGTGACTGATAGAGCTTAACCTTCAGTTTTTCTCATTTATTTTCATAAGAGAATGGGAGTGGAATTCAAAACATTCAAATTTGGAGTTAATGTGCGTCACTGTTATGAGTGATAGGTTCTGTGTTTTTCCAGTGGAAAACTTTGATCCACAAACTGATACATGCCTGTGTTATACCTCGTTATTCTTTTCTGTTTTTCTCCTGATTGTTGCTTACTCCTTCAAAAATCAGCTGACTGTACAAGTCCTCTCTGGGAGCAGACTTTTGAGCAAAAGAGATCTATGAAAGCAGCACGTAAGTTTTTTTTTTTCTTTTTCTTTCTTTTTTTTTTTTTTTTGTCAGAGTTTATCACTTTCCAAGTAGACCGTTTATATTTTCACTGGTAGTCTAAGTTTACTTAACTGCAGTATTTAATGTTAAATGTATACTTTATGCTGTTAAGATAATTTAGTTTCTGTGTTTGGTCACTTTTGCATGTTGAAGTCATATTAAGTAACCTGGCCACTTGCCTATTTACTTCTTGTGGCTAACAGTAATGGACGAAACCATTGACATATGTTGTCTTAGAATATCACAACACTTTTATAGAAATTAGAAACTTGGTTGATGAATAATAGACATCCATGAGTCTTGTTGGTTTTGAATTTGAAACATTTTTCTAGAGTATTGCTGTTTGAATGAAACTTCAGTAATTTAGAGAATTGTTTTTTGCATCTTACAAACGCTAGCTTGAATTACTTCTTCAGGTTAACCCCACAGAAAGCTAAAGAAGGTATATTGCTGTTGACAGTGAGCAACTGTAAACATCCTCGACTGGAAGCTGTGAAGCCATAGATGGGCTTTCAGTCGGATGTTTGCAGCTGCCTACTGCCTTGGACTTCAGGGACTACTTTAGGAGCACTATCTTGTTT